CGCAGCTTATCGTGTCCCTCGGGCGCCATCGGTCCTGACCACCATCTTCACTACACATGAAAACACTATTCTCGCAACAACAAACAAAAAAGAAAAAAGTTATCAATCCACGCATCAAAACGATTTCTGATATATAAAAGTCTATTCATATTTTTATACCCTTAATTTCCTATTGCCCTAGTTTTACGTTTTATGGGAAGAGCTAGCTTACTAAATGCATGTTTACTCTGTTCTTGATAGCATCCACTTAAAACTTGAGGACTAAATATACCAATGCTGGTACACTTCTTTGGTATACGCACATAAAACAAGAACATTGATATGCGAATTATTTATACACAACAAGCCACAATTACATTTACATAACCTTGTTGCAGGCAGAAGTAATTTAATAACAGAAGACACGCTTGCTAGTTGGTCAACTTATTCCAATTAAGAATCCGCGACAAACTATTGCTTGAAGTATTGAAAGCTTTATGTTCCAGTGCCCAGTAGAAACATTTGTTCGTGAAGGCATTAAATTGAAAGAAGGTCCCATCACTTCAAAAGTCGAAAGTTTCACTTTAAATTCATAAATTTTGATTTAAGTTCTTATTTAATGTATTTGAAATACATCAACTTCATCAGCCTTTATTTGTCCACTGTTGGACATGGGCCTTCCCCAATGCATTCTACAGAATGCAGTCTTCCGCCTTCCGCATCCTACGACATCCCTCCGGGAGCAGTAAGTCTTCGGTCCACCTGAATAGAGGACTCCCCACGCTCAAATCATAAGTTTTCTGGCGATATTTTCGGTAGGCCTTGATGGTCTATCCATCAGAGCAGCTTAGTCTAGTAGGGGTAGTTTCTACCCCACGACCTTATGCTAACAACACTTGTGAGTCGTCTCGAGCGCAGGACACTAATAAATTTCGAGAAGCATTAATCAGCCAAACTTTCAAAAATTGTATAAATATGTACAGGTTTAACAACGAGAATGAGTACCTACGTACATAATGTAATCATCTCCAAATGACTGGGAATAGCAATCAAAATGAAGAAATAGGTGCGTGGAAAGCACGGAGAATTTCTGTGACATCTTGGAGACGAACAGAACACCTTGAGTTACTTTTTACCCAAATAAAATTATGAAAAGGTACTTCTTTACGATTTCGAAGCTTTATTTACAGGCAAGGTACCTTCATTTTGTTTAATAATAAGAGTAAGTAAAGTTTTATTGACGTTCCATATTTTATAATGTTTGCTGTAAGTTATTAGGTTAGTTCATCCTTTAGCGACGTGTGATGGTGATGTGATCTTTAACCTCTCGAAGTGCTTTCCCACTTTCAATTAAATGGTGCCTATGATATCGACAAAGTGCTCATAAATTAGTTACCGCCATTAAATCTAAGCTCGAGTAATAATATGGGCAATAAAGTGGTCGTCTCGAGACATATCTTAAAATCTCCATCAGTAAACATGACGTCATCACATCACTATTTTAACCACATAAATCTAACGTTTGCTTTATGTCTTTTCATATTATATCACTCGTAGTCGCAACATGTCGCCGTACGTTAGCTGATTATGTTTCGGGATCCGTTACAAAACTGTTATAGAGCCATACTTCTATTCGGGTATGATAAAGCTTAAGGATCTGTTTACTTGGAGCTCTAATTCCAGGAGCTATCATTTAACTATGTTGCCTCGCCAGCATCAAGCAACTACATACATAAGATGTACAAAGAAATACATAAAATTGAAAAGTTTCTCCTTATTCAATTTCATCTCGGCTTCTTTCACATTTCTTATTCGGTTAGTAGTTTCAGAAGCGCGAGCTAAATTGGATTTGCATCGGAAGCGGCCTGGAATAAGTTTTCACAAATGAAATTTCTTGGTAAATATTCAAACTTTGATAATAAAGTTATTTAGATTTGCATTATTCTCGACCTGCCTTTCCATATCCTAGAGGGCTTATTCTTATTATCTTAGTTTTTATAAATTAATTAGCTAAGTGTACAGTTGCATTGATCCCCATGCGGATTGAGGCCAAGAATTCTGCCCTAATCAAATAGAGTATATCGTCTGGAGAAACGAAATGTTTTATTCAAAGACCAGGCTCATTGACGGAATGGCCGTGGCTGACGCTAATGCGAAGCGTTTTAAGAGATCGTAAAGTTTAACGCGCCGTCGGAAGACGAGCTGTAGGCTTCGATAATGTTAACAGTTGCAGGTGTTATCGTTTAGAACTTAGAGCCGAGTAGTAT